TCTGAGCAAAAACTATAAATTTTAGATCAAATTTGTAATAAAACTTAAAAATCTAGGCCAAAAGTTTAATTTTTGAAAGTTGGATGACCTGTTGACCGGTAAAAGGGTTAAATTGAATAAGATTACCGGTTTTTAGGACTTAATTGAATAAAAAGCTATAAGGACTAAATCGATTGTGAAACCGATATAATGACTTTTTTGCAGTTTTTCTTATTTTTATGATTTATTTTCTGTTTAAATTTAAATTTTATTTAAATTTCTTAAAAAAATCTTATGCTTTTTTTTTTCCTATTTGGCGGCAGGTTTAATTTTTCACATTTTTTTTTTGGAAAAATTCTAAAAAACATCATGTTTTTGTGATTTACTTTAAACATAATACTTTTATTTTTACTTTTAAGTAATAATTAGTAGAAAGAAAATCTATATAAAGCCAGATCATAGCTTCGTAAAGATGTAAATTTGGTGGTGGTGATGGTTGTATTAAATAGTGCATGATGTATATTTTTTGTATCTTTTAGTTTTTAACATTAAGAACCAATACATTTGACTTGAAGACTTTATTTATAGTTATGTTTTGTAGATTAGTAGAAAAATTAACTGTTAACTGAACAATTAGCTAACATATACATTTGGTAAAAATAATTTGTAAACTAGCTGATAAATATAAAAATGGTATATAGATTAATGATTTAATACTGTAACATAAATACATTATATATTTTATTAAATAAAGTCATTACTAAATAACACTTCATTCATTATTTATGTTTAAATGAAATCTCATACATTTCATATCATATTGTAATATTATGACAAAAATTTCAAATCTTATAGCATACGACTCAAATATTATTATATGATTAAATCTTGAATGGTCATGCAATCTTTCTATAAGTTCAATGATTTATTGGACAATATTGAGAATCGTACCTGTCAAACATAACATAAGCACCACAACTACGGATGAACGTGTAACAGAATCGGTATCATTCTCGATTTTTCGAAAACCAAATTTGATTGAAAGTCAATTCCGAGTACTGAACCGAATTAACATTATCGGTACTGGTACAAATGGTACCGGTTTTCGGTACTAGCACCGGTATCGACGATACCAAATTTCGAATTTCTTGATTTTAGAGTATCGAATACCGTCTCATATTTTCAAATTCGGTGCGGTTCGGTATTAGTTTTGGTACCGTACCAATACGAGATCGAGATTTGGTACAAACTGTTCATTCCTAATCACAACCTTTTATTTTTAGCAATTTAATTCTTTTTTTCTTGTTTATATATATATATATATATATATATATATATATATATATATATATATATATATATATATATATATATATATATATATATATTATCAGACTAAGTTCATGTAAATTAGAATATGGGTGTGTTTGGTACGTAGCGTTTAGAAGTTTTTAGTTTCTAGTGTTTGACAAAACGCTTCGTTTTGAACAAAAAATCCCGTTTGACACTACATGTTTTTAGCGTTTAGTTTAAATAGAATGCTTCAAATTTAAAAGCTATTTCACGTAGCGTTTAACAAAACACTACCAGTTACCAGTTAGTTTGTCGAACACGTCATGTGTCGTCTAAAACGTGCACAATCGTCTTCTATATGAAGTATTTGAATTCAATTTTTTAGTATTTTGTAAAAGCAATATTTTCAAAATTAAATTATAAAATATTTTATATTTTAGATTACATTAGGTTGTGTTTGGCACGCCACAACTAGCAGAAAAGCTAATTTATTTTACGAGCTTTTTTAAGTTGTCATGTTTGGCAAGCCAAAAAGTAGCTTATAAGCTAGCTTTTTAAAAATCTATTTAGACTAGCTTTTTATGAGTTTTTTTAAAAAATTTCCAAATATACCCCTTAATTAATTATAAAAACACATTCTTTTAAATGTCATTTTATGTCATTTCATATTTTCCAGCTAGCTTTTCAGTTAGTTTTACTGAACGTTATTTTTCTAGCTTTTCAGCTATCAGCTAGCTTTTTATTTAACAATTAGTTTTTCAATTAACAACTAGCTTTTCAGCTAGTACGCCAAACATAGTATAAGTGCGGAATAACTTTTTTTTCCTCAATACAAAATGTGAATCGTTATTCTTAATACAATATTTTATTTTCTATTTTGGATATAAGATTTGATATAGTGGAATTGTTAAGAAAGTTTCCAAAAGTCTAGATTGGTGTTTTCAATCCCTTTTTTCTCTTTAATTTTCTTTTAGCCGTCTTTATCTATTTTCAGTCACATCAATTTCCTTTTCAAGACAATCCATGAACACAATAAAAAACCTTGAAATATAATATATAAGGAAAGTGGAGATTTTGTGAATTCTTCATGAAACTGTATCTTCTTATATAGTCAACTCAAGATGTATACATTTTAATTTGTGGAAACAAGAACTCTCACAAACTGTTATGAAACCCAAAGTTAAAAAAAATTCTTCATGTCATCTAGAAAAGTTATACGTCAAATTAACAATTAGAAAATCACTTTTGCAAATTATTGTAAGAGAATATCAGTTTTCGTGAAATGAACAATTAGTTTGTGACAAATGCTTATAACTATTTTATGATAATACATAAACCTAAATTTTCATATATTCTGACTAATCTTATTTTAAACCTACAAATTCAGTTAACAAAAATGAATATCAAACATTGTAAAACTTATAATAATTGATATTTAATTTCTCTAATAATTTATTCAATGTTCTTAAAAGGTTATCACTATTTTTTGGAATTGCTGAGTAACCAATTTTATGTTTTAAAAGGGTGACCACAACTTTTTTTTTTTTTTTGTATGGTTACCTACTAACCAAGGTTGAATACGTCACTATTTTTTTTTTTATCAAATTTTACACTTTTGGCTGAAATTTTAAATATTGTTATAAATTTGGTTCAATTTAAATTTTATTACGTATTCGTCCCGAATTTATTTATTTCACAAATTTATTTCTATAGCTTTGTATAAAGGTTTATAAGATTTTATTCTTAACTTTAAAAAAAATATATTTTACGTTATTTTTTCAACTTTTGCATTGTCTCATATATATCATTAAACTAATTATTCTCTACGATCGTGGGTCATTTTGATTGATGGAATAATAAATATGATTTAAAATCAGAGTAATTAATAAAACAATGATTACATCATATTTCATCAAATCTAAATGTCGTACAATTATCGAGAAAAGTTAGTTTGAGACAATACAAAAGATGGAAAAAAGTTAATAAAAATATTATAAAAGTTTTTTTAAAAAAAAGTTAAGAAAAAATATATTATAAGCCATTATAAATAAAGTCTCAAAAAATTGTACAAAATTAAATTTGTGAAAAAACAAACGAACTAAATTTGGAAAGAATTCCTAACAAAACATTAAATTTGGACCAAATTCATAACAATATTAGATAACCACACTATACAAAATATAAATCATTTATCTTTTAAAACATAAAATCGAATATTTGAAAATTTATAAAAAAAAGTTAGTTTTTAGAAAACAGTTATAACTCAAATACGTGTAGAAAAACTAAAGATTTTCCTACTTTTCTTCTTACTTATCTCATTATCTTTGAAATGATAATAGATGTATTAAAATATAATTAATATTATTCAAATACGATACTCTTACAATTTTATATGATTAAAAATAAATAAAATTTAATAGGAATAAAAATAAATAAGAATATAAGTATCAATAAATTATAAATTATAAGAGTCTGCCTTTATTTTAATATTTTCGTGGACCAGTGAATACGCATACAATTGAATAGATAAGTCCCCAAGCTAGGGTTTCTAGATATTTGGCACATGTTAAAGAATCTTAGTCATTAGGTCTCACCAACTATGCCGTTTTTGGGAAAGTATCTTTTTCTAAATCAAAGGGGGGAGTGACATGTATGAACCTTTTAAGGTAAATTAATATAGTTTCTGTTTATATACATACAAGTTTCCTTTTCACTGGTCGTGACAATGCATTCTTTTGTTTATTAAAAGTCACTGAATGTGGTTCATAGCCAATGAGAACAACTGAACAAGTTGAGTTTGAATTCTTTTGTGTTCAGAGTTTTATTTATTTAATATATGATCGTGTGTTATCATTTAAAAGTTTTTGGAATTCAACATCATTCAAAATCTTTATATGAATTAAAATTAATATATTATAAATCTATAAATTATATTATCACCTTGTTCTATTGCTCGTTATATGCATACTTTATGTCACGCCCAAAAGTTGGCTCAACACCAAAAAGAAAAAAAGACCATGCCGCTGGTTACCTTACCATTGAGATCTATGAGGGTCATATTAGCCCATGAGGGGGTTATTACACTACAACGTTAACCCCTTATGGTGACGACAATTTCGGACCCTATCCCGACGACATGTTGTCGGCATAGGGTATCCAGCAAACATGTCGTCGGCACTCTGTCGTCGGCATAGGCGTGTCGGCATAGATCAATACTGTCGTCGGTATAGATGTCATTGGTATAGCCTACTTTATTGCGACGACATGTTGTCGGTAGAGCTTTTGTCAAGCATATTTTCGGAAAAAAATAAAGTTTTATTAATTACTTGTGGCGACGATAAATGGTCGGGAAAGCTGTGGCGACGACAAGTCGTCGTGATAGGTTGACGCTATTACGATAACATGTCGTCGCTATAGGTTTTTCACATTATCTATTAAACACTTATAGCGACGACATGTCGTCGGGATAACCACTAGTTGTTTTTTTTAGTTTTTGCAGATTCTGTACATTACCATTCCTGTATTTTTAACAATTCCAAAAACTTTGCAGCATATATCAATTGAAATACAATAACTAGCTACCATTATTCAAATTCAAAACATCAAATTCAAGTTTAATATTACAATAAGTAGTTAGTTAACATTGTTCAAAATACTACAAAAACATCAACCATCATTATCATCATAGTCTTCTTCTTCTTCCCCCCTTCTTCTTCTTCTTCTTCTTCTTCTTCTTCTTCTTCTTCCCCTTCTTCTTCCATCCTTTCGGCAAATTGTTGAGAGGTACTTCCTTGTGTGTTAGAGTTGAATAGAAAGTTAGGAAATGGTGGTGGTTGGAAGTTCGGAATACATGCCGCGAATGATGCATTATATTGTTGCAAGTATTCTTGCATTTGTTGTGCATCAAATTGGGATTGAGATTGGGGTTGTGATTGGGACGATTTGAAAGTGGAAGGCCGTTCATTTGGAATTAAACCGAAGTTGGCGGTTGGTCTCCTACCCACCCCGCGAGCATGCCCACGTCTCGTCCCAAGGGCACGTTCTAAACATTCTAACTCGTCTACTTCTCCGCCTTCCCCAACCTCGTTTTGCATTTTCTCATATTCCTCTTAAATTTTCTCCTAAAATAAAGAAAACAATAAACATGCGTTAATTAAAACAAACAAGTAGACTTAAACATTAAAATAATAATAATAATCCTTAAACAAAAACTATAATTAATAATAATAGTATATTTAAACAATGTATTCATTTCGTTTATCACTTACCCAATCTTCTTGTGCTCGATTTGTACACCAACCAGAACCTTCTTTGTAGCGCATTTGTCTCCAACGCTCAATATGTTGCGGCTTGAGTCCCATTTTATCCTATAATAAGTGAAAAACAATAAATATATTTATACAAATGTTAATAACAATTTTAAATAATACTAATATATATTATTACCTCTAAATGACGTCGTTGAGCATAGGATCTACATCCGTGAGCACTTGTGTGCGGAAGTTTCGACCTAGTAACTTTATTTTTGATCAACGTGTTTCTGTATTCATCGGTCAAAAACAACAAATCAATCATTTAGTTCCAAGCTTCGACGGTCCAATCAATCGTTGGGCATCTTCTTTCCCTTTCCACATTCTGATATCCACCAACTCTATCAAAATGTTTTTTCATCTGATATTTGCGCTCTCGATAAGCTCTTTGCATATCTGCTTGGATACCCACTCGAACGGGTTCCCACAAGTCTGTGCCCCGATACCTATTAAGATCAAAATAAGTCTGCAAAAGGAAAAACATATTTGATTAGTAAAAAAAATATTTAATAAGTGTAAAATTCTACACATATAAAATATATTGTATACTTACTTCTAGCTCGAGATATAAATCATCTTTGTACTTGGTAGGAACACGATGCCACGTATGATAATGCAACGGTACCATTGATCCCACCAAATTTGAGATCAATCTGACAACATTTGCCTGTTGTCCCCAATGAATCGATACATCCGCCCGGAGGTATCAATGGTCACAACCAAAGGCTTACATTTGTTATTTTCATACTCATCGTACAAATTCAAGTTTCTCCCTTTGCCACGTACATTCACATTCTTCGCTTGTGCTAGATTTACATATAGAATTGGAAATTTAGAAATTTAAAACTTTAATATATCTAATACTTAAGAATTTCATGTAACTTACAAGATTGACAACCCGATGGTACACCGCGTGCGATCCCGTGTGGAGGTCTATCCCCACCGTCTCCTTCATGTCCCCTCGCGACTTCTGCCATCTGTTTAACAAATATTATAAACATTCAAAATATATAATAAAGCTACTTATGAATAAGCAACATTTGAAAATTTAATAAATATTATAAGCAATCAGGATATATAATAACTATAACATACCATCAATCAGATTCATCACTAGAACAATATACATGTACAACATCATCATCACTGTCATAGTTTTCATTATTTATTTCTTCACCTGAAGAGTACGCATCAATTACATCAAACATCTCATTAGTTGTTGGGATGTTTATTGGAGTCGAATTGTAGCCCATACCCGAAACAAGACGTTTCTTACAGTGATAATGTCATACAGTATACGATTTTAGAAACCCACGTTCATGTATGTGGGCATAAACCGTACACAACAACTGTCGATACATATTCACACACTTTATGCATGGACAAGGCATTTTGTCTTCAGAGTCAACATGTTTCCTAGCAATCTCCATAAAGTTTTTAAGACCTTCCAAGAATTTCGGGGACGTTCGGTTTTTACGAATCCAACTCTTATCGATCGTCATTACTGTTTCATTATTAAAAATTACATTGTATACAACGTTAAATTGTATTTTGGCTATATGGGAATGTGTATTGCATGACTTTTTGTTTGAGAAAAAAACGGAAGGAATGTGTATTGCATGACTTTAGTTAAATATTTTTACTTAACCTTTGTAGTTTAAATATTTTTTTTTACTAACCTTTGGTCTTAATAAACGTACTTTTGTTCTTAATAAACGTACATTTATTAGTTTAAATATTTTTATATTTTGTTTTATGTTGCTATTAATAACATTTGTTTTTAATAAACATACTTTTATTAGTTTGTTTAAAGCATTCTATTTTCAGTTCTCTTTCATATTTATAATATATATAACATCTTATTTTTTTTCAATTATAGCATTGTACTTTTAATATTATTTTGTTTTTTTTATTATAACATCGTACTTTTAATAGCAACGTAGTTTTATTATTTTGTTTTATGTTATAACTATCAAATAGATTTGAAAATAAAATGCTTTAATAAACAAGCTAAAAAGGTATGTTGCTATTAATAACTTTTGTAGTTTAAATATTTGTTTTAATAAACAAGCTAAAAAAAGTATGTTGCTATTAATAACCTTTGTAGTTTAAATATTTTTTTCTTAATAACCTTTGTTCTTAATAAACGTGTTTTCATTAGTTTAAATATTTTTATATTTTGTTTTATGTTGCTATTAATAACCTTTGTTCTTAATAAACATACTTTTATTAGTTTGTTTAAAGCATTCTATTTTCAATTCTCTTTCATATTTATAATATATATAACATCTTATTTTTTTCAATTATAGCATTGTACTTTTAATATTACTTTGTTTTTTTATAACATCCTACTTTTAATAACAACGTAGTTTTATTATTTTGTTTTATGTTATAACTATCAAATAGAAATGAAAATAAAATGCTTTAATAAACAAGCTAAAAAAAGTATGTTGCTATTAATAACCTTTGTAGTTTAAATATTTTTTTTCTTAGTAACCTACAAGCTAATAAACTAAACAAGTAACACAAACATACATATTTTAAATTTTATACATATCATATCAACCTAAACAAAGAGCACAATCATACATATTTCACAATCATATAAACCTAAACAAGTAAATTAACATTCTATACATACAATTTCAATTTCATATGTACCTAAACAAATTTCAATTCCATATAATATTTTAAACACAATTTCAATTTCATATAACATTAACCAAGTAAATTAACATTTTATACATACAACATCATAACAAACAAACAACACAATATACCCAACAAACAACACAATCATACACATACCAAATAAACAACACAATCCTATAATCATACAAAGTTCAATTTCAATTTCAATTTCATATAAACTTATACATATATACAATTCCAATTTAAATAAAAATTAGAAATAAAAACTAACCCGTTTCGTTTTCTTGCTGTGATTGCAGGATTCCGATTGTCAAATTTGGTGGTGTTCCTCCGGTGGTAGCTGGTGTTCACATGAATTACACAAAATCAGGAAAAAAAACCAAAAAAACCAAAAAAAAAAGCGCCAAGATACTTACTGTTGTAGTTGTGACGAAGAGAGGCTGGAAATAAGGTGGAGTCGTCGGCAGGGAAGGTTGAAAGTGGTGGAATATGGACGGTGGTGAAACACAACCGGTGACCGGCTACAAAAACCAAAAAAACCCCAAATTCGGGGTCAAAACCTTTACCACACAACAATAAAGCAAGAATTAGGAGTAGAAAAGAGCTTACTTGGTGCTAATTTCCGGTTCTGGAAGCGTGATTGCGTTTTTCGTCAGAGAGGAATTGAGGCTGCGTCGTTGTGTGCAAATGAACGAACTGATACGTTTGTTAGGGTAAAACCCCTATGCCGACGACATGTCGTCGGTATAGGTCTAAATAAACGACGTCGTTCCTCATTTTGCTGAAACAAAAAAAAATTAAAAAATAAATACATGTGCCGACGACAAGTCGTCTCCATAGACATTTCACGCGGATCGTCACGTGTCATATCGATGACAAGTCGTCGGTATAGCCTAAATAAAACTACGTCGTTTTCATATTCGGGACCATGAAATAAAAATAAATAAAAAATAGATTTCTCGAGTCCTATCCCGACGACTTGTCGTCGGTATAGATTTTCAGAATACCGCGAATTTTTTTGTTGTTCCCGCCATACTTGTAGCGACGACATGTTGTAGGTACAGATGTCCTGGTCAAAGGAATTTGGTCAAAGTTTACAAAGGCTATGGCAACGACAATTCGTCGGCATAACTTGTCTTGTAGCGACGACTCTCGTCGTCAAGATAGGTGTCATCGCAATAGCTCCGTTTTATTGTAGTGTTAGTCTAGTTGCTTTCATTTGTCCGAGTCGTAAATGCTAGAGAGCTTGACTATGAAGGGGGACGTTGTGGGTTAGACACAACTGGTTGGAGGCTAAAGCCACCTCCTTGATGAGCCCATGACAATACGAAACCAATAGACATGTGTATCTGGGTAGGCTGGTTTTGTGGTTCTAGTGGAAACCACTGGATGCCATACAGGCATGGTTGCAGAAATCGGGATTAATCGGCGATTATGTGGCATCCCCAATTTCACGGCCAGAAAAGACCGATTTGTTTATGCTTTGTTTTTAAAATCAGAGTAATCTTTTAAAGAAAACGGTTGCGGAATTTGTTCCCAAAACAAGATATGATAATAACTTATCAAAACATTTCTCAAAGAGAATGTATTTTCATTTAATAATAAAACCTCGGGATGTCATGTTCCGATACATACATATAAACATAAACAGAACTTACATTTAATTACACTAATGATTTATATCTCCTTTAAATCTCTCTGTGAAATATGTCTTCGTATCGATACCTGTGATACAAAGAAAACTGAGTGGGTCAGGCTTGGGAGCCTGGTGAGCATATAGGGTTTTCATCCCACAATGTTATATCATATATTTATAAATATAGAACATTCAAACTTGTACAATTTCACCATATAAAGGCAACTCTTATCCCACCCCATCGATCCTCACAACGACACGATCTAAACTCTCGTATCTAAAATTTTCCTCTTTACCTGATCCTTACTCACGGATCTAAACCTAACCTTTTCACCTGATCCTTACTCACGGATCTAAAACTACCTGATTCATACTCACGGATCTAAAACTAACCTCCTGATCTGATCCATACTCCCGGATCAATAATTGTACCCAATCCATACTCCCGAAATAGGGACAATTAATTCTACCTTAATCCTGATCTGATCCATACTCCCGGATCAATAACTGTGCCCAATCCATACTCCCGGACTAGGGATAATTAACTTAGTCTTAATCCATACTCCCGGACTAGGGACAATTAACTTAGTCTTAATCCATACTCCCGGACTAATAACAAGTTTTATCTCTTTACCTGATCCATACTCCCGGATCTAAAACTAACCTCTTGGTCTAATCCATACTCATGGATCTAAAACTAGCCTCTTGATCTGATCCCTACTCACGGATCTAACTAACCTCTTGATCTGATCCATACTCACGGATCTCATCTACCCATGTCCTACCCGACATATTTGTAGTTACAAAATACATATACAGTTTAACTCATTAAAACCTATATAGTTCATTCATTCCACCAACATATCAAATAAACAAAAATATATAAACACATAGCACGTATTTCATAGCAAATACTTCATACTTATGTGTTAGAAGAAAGTAACTATACACTCACTTGATTAGAAGATGATCGGACAGCGCCTCGTCTCTTGAAATAATCTTTTCCGACGAAACCGGGATGTTTCCTCCAAAACCGGGCTTCACGCGGGCAGAGCTTCGGCTCGGGAATTTTACTCCTCGGGATCTTCGGGGCTTTGGGACTTGCTTCGGGGCTCGGGATTAATACCGGGGCTTCGGGATATTTCTTGCACGAAAAACGAGGCAAAAACACGAGAGAAGGAAAGAAAATGAGCAAAGAAACTCGGCAGCCTCGACTTCCTTTTATAGGGGCTGGAACCTTCGATTACGCTGGGCGTAATCTTAGGTACGCTGGGCGTAACTTGGATAAGGCCGCTGACTCCCCCCCCCCCCCTTCGGATAATATCGGAATTTATAATTAAATTTAATATTTTAATTATTTAATAAACTTCAAAAATTCATATCTTCCTCATACAAACTCCGTTTTCGACGTTCTTTATATCCATGCGTAGGTGAGACTATGATCTACAACTTTCGTTTACACTCCGTCGTCTAATTTTGAATTTATTTTTAGTAGGCCGGGACAAGGAAACTCCGTTATAAATTCATAACTTCTTCATCCGACGTCCGTTTTCGTCTGTCTTTTTACCGTTGCACTACTATCAACAAGATCTTTGATTCTTGTTTAGATTGTTTCGGCTAAAAACCGCTCGATCTCAAACCGAGTATTCGGGCTGCATACCGCTAAGTCGAAACTTAGAAAAATCATAACTTCCTCATACGAAGTCAGATTTGGACGATCTTTTTATGCACGCTCACGGTTTAACGAACTCTACGACTTTGGTTTAGATCGCTAAGGCTAAATATCACTCTAACGTAAATTCACTTTTTACGTCATTCAGCGTCGTGTCGGTTCTGTCGCGAAACTTCGACAGGTCATAACTTCTTCGTTATAACTCGGATTTCGGCGTTCTTTATATGTACGGAATCCTTGTAACATATACTATAACTTAGTTAAGATTATTCATTCTAAATAATCTTTCATCAAAAATTCATTTTTGACGCTTATCGTCTCTAAATTGACTAGCCCTGATCTACGGGCGTTACAATTATCTCCCCCTTAGGATGATTACGTCCCGGAATCATCAACGAAAATAGGGCTTGGATAATGATTCCATACGTTACCTCTTCATCCTAAGTGATAATCGTAACTTCCATGTTTCCTCGAATGAGTATTTAACTCTTGGGCTTCTTGACTGCAGACGATGCTCAATCTTGCATCTGCTTTTCGTACTATGTTGTACTT